CTATATATTGTGTCTTTTTTTTTTCTAACAGGTTGGTGACTTCCCTGCTTAAAGAACTTTGTGAAACTGATCTAGTTGAACAGTTTGGGTTGGACCTTTGGGGACCTTTGAAAGTCATCTAGTACAACCCCTGCTGCCATAAGCAGGGGTATCTTCAGCCAGATGTGGTTGCTCAGATCCCCACTCAACCTGACCCAGGGTTGGGACATCTACTACCTCTCAGGATAACTCTCTGGGACACTCTGGAACTTCACTGTTTGAAAAAAGTTTTGTCTCTGAATCTTCATTCTCCTTTTTGCATCCTCACTCAATACCTGAAGTTTTTAAGGCACACCATGATGTGCATATTTTCTAAGCAATCAACACAGGACGTATAAGCTAGTGCTGAGGAGGGAATGAAAAACTGCTTTAGCAGTGGGGTTAGATTCATAGAATCAAATTTTAGCTTTTAAATTCTAAGCTGGTTGTTTAGGCTTCCTGAAGAGTCAGTAGGGGGTGATTCATCCTCCACGTAATATACTACTTAAGGCACCATTTTCTAGGCAAATACAACTTGATGCTTTGGGTGACTTACCTATACTTCATATTTTTAATGCTCATTACCCTCAAAAGAGGCTTATAGATTTTTTTTTCTATAAATCTTTCTATAATTCTTAAGTGAGGTTAGTAAAAAATTACAGTGAGAGATCAGCTTCTTCTGAGAATACATATCCATATTCTTAAACTGTGCTTTAACTTTACAACTAAAGCTGTCATATTATAAATAAGCTGATTTTGATTTGATTTTTGATGTTTAATGAAATACAGACTTCTCAGAAGTTACTTATTTAATCAGCAGCTGGAAGTCACACTATGTATATGTGTCTTTTCGCACCTGTAACCCACTATACACTCTCCCATGATACACATAATATATTGACAGGAAAAGTCACCACTTTCATTTGATTCTAACCACTGCCAAAATTTGGAAAAAAACAAACTACTGGTTGATTTCCCTAATGTTGTGATCCACTACTCCAGCTTCACCTATATGAAGTAGAAAGCAACATCATTTAATACAGACAGTAGATTTTCTTTAGTAGTGTCCTCCAGACTGAGCTCAGGGAAACTGTATTGCTTCCCGATGTGTTACAAGAGCTTTAAGAAAGCTTTAAGTTTATGAAAACTTTGGATGTTCTAAGAATATAAGGACTGTAGTTGAGTTGTATCATCTATACCTTCTTACTGTGCTTACTTACCTATGTGATGCCTGAGGAGTGTGATCCTTAGAGGAATTTGCTAATATATTTTTTTTTCTGTTCTTTTGAAGTCTGACCTAGTTGGAATATACGAAATTGAGTTGCAAAAACAATGGCTAATTTTAGCAGAGCTGATAACTTTGTAACTTGAAAATAGCCATAATGTTCCATACTTCAAGATAGTAACACAAAAGCTGATTACAGCACTCAGTGATGTCTTCACCTCTCTGCTATTTAGGACAAAAGGATAGTGATAAATGGATTGTTAAAAGCAGTTATTTCACTGTAACAGGCCATTTAGACATCATTTAGATGGGAAAGAATACAAATACGATTATTTCTCAGAAAACCAAAATTTGAAAAAAACAAACAAACAAATTTTGTCCACTCTGAGGCTTTTTCAGATTTGGGAGAAATTAATTTTGACTTGGGCATTTTGAACTGTAATTTTACATAACTATCACTCCTATTTGATCATAACTTATGGGAAAATTAAAGTAGGGTGATTTGCTGCCTATTTTTCTGTCATGCTGTAGTCTAAGACCCCATCCCCACCTTTTTTAAATTAAAATTTTGCAGTACTGTTTGTAACTATTTGTTACTTTGCATGATTCTTTGGAAACTAGCATTGAAACTCAGCTCACAGTGTTCAGTGACTGAACTACACTTCTTATTTGCGATACATGTTCTCTTTTAACCTATGTATTATAAAAATTACATTTTAATATGGCAAAAGAGAAGTAGAAACAATATGAGAAGACTTTAAACAATAAATTGTTGTAAGTTGAAATATTTAGTTGTTGTTTCTTAATTTATATTTTCTTAGAGTTCTATCTATGACCCACAATTCTTTCAATTAAACATAAACTCTAGCATCTTTGACCATGTCCTGGGGTAGTTTCTGTCCTAGAGCAAACATGGAAAATGTATCAGGAGACTTGATTATGTTTAAGGTAAAATGTTTTAAAGCTGATTCCCATGAACAGTTTGTTCTGTTGGAGAAAGGCATTTAGGTTTCAGCACTTTGTAACCTCCAGGGCAGAACAGGGCAGAAAACTATAAGGAACTGAAGTATCCAGCAACTTGGTTAGTTAGATAATTTGTCAAGGATGGAACCCAGGCACTTGTTTTTATTTCATAGCTTAATAGGAATGCACAGAAGTACAATAGAAAAGGAAAGCACTACTTACATGAAATTTATCTGTAGTTTAACATACCGTGATAATTTCTTTGCCATTCCTAATTATTTTTCACAAATAGAATCACAGAATCACAGGATCACAGAATCACAGTCTTAGAATGGTTTGAGTTGGAAGGGACCTTAAAGATCGTATAGTTCTGACACGCCTGCCAGGGGCAGGGACACCTTCCACTAGACCAGGTTGCTCTGTGTCCTGTCCAACTTGGCCTTAAACACTGCCAGGGATGCAGCAGCCACAGATTCTCTGGGCAACCTGTGCCAGGACCTCACCACCCTCACAAGGAAGAACTTCTTCCTAACATCTAGTCCAAATCTACCCTTTCTTAGTTCAAAGCCTATCACTACATTCCCTTGCTAGAACTCTCCCTCCCGCTTTCTTTCAGGACCAATTCAGGTGCTGGAAGAATGCTATAAGGTGTCCCTGGAGACTTCTCTTCTCCAGGCTGAGCAATCCCAGCTCTCTCAACCTGTCTTCATAGGAAAGGTGATCCAGCCCTCAGATCATCTTGGTGACCCTCCTCTGGACACACTCCAACAGGTCCACTTTCTTAAGTTTGGGGCCCAAATGCTGAATGAAGTACTGCATGTTGTGCCTCAGCAAACAGAGTAGAGGGAAAGAATCACCTTAGCCTGCTGGTCATGCTGCTGGTGATGCAGCAAAGGATGCATTTGGCTTTCTGGGCTGCAAGTGCAGCACTGACTGTCAGTTGATATTGAGCTTCTTGTTAACCAAAACTCCCAAGTCCTTCTCCTCAGTGTTGATCTCAATACTGTTCTCTGCCCAGCCTTTGTGCTTGGGATTTCCCTAAACCAGGTGCAGTACCTTGCACTTGGCCTTCCAGAACTTCATTGGTCCACCTCACAAGCATGTCAAGGTCACTCTGGATGGCGTCCCTTCCCTCCAGTGTCAACCATGCCACACAGCTTGGTGTCATCGGCAAACTTGCTAAGAGTGCACTCAATCCCACTGTCCATGTTGTCAATAAACATGTTAAATGGCATTAGGCCCAATACCAGCTCCTGAGGAATGCCACTCATCACTGGTTTCCACTAAAACATAGAGCCATTGACCGCGAGTCTTGGAATGTGACCATTCAGCTCATTTCTTATCTACCGAGTAGTCCATGTGTCAGATCCTTGCCTCTCTAGCTGTAGGTCTCCAGGACTTCCTTTTTCCCTTTTTTAAAATAAGGGTTATGTTTCCTCTTTTCCAGTTAGTGGAAACTTCTTCGGACTACCATGACTTCTCAGATATGATGGATAGAAGGCAACCAATTCATCTGCCTGCTCCCTCAAGTAGTAGTATTAGAAGCATTAGTAGAAGCATTAGTACAATTAGAAACAGTTCCCTCACGAAGTATTAGATTTGCCCTTAGCTAGGCATAATTCCCTCAGAAGTTTGTGATCCCTGTTGAAAATTATAAACTAGTGAATATTCAACCCTTTTTAGTCTCTATAGTTAGAAGTGCATTCTTTATAAAAGCATCTAAGTAGGGGAGGAATGCTGGAATTTTCTACTGAAGTGCTTTTATATCAAATACGCCTTGAGCTGTTATGAATGAAAGGTGTTTGGTAAATTACTTTATGTTACAAATATCTAAAATTGAGTGGGTGATTGATTTAATTGCGGTTGTCAGACTGGTTTTAAAAGCATTTTTTTTCTTTTTGTTCTGTTTTTCAGATCTGCAGAACAGTTAGAATCTGAACATAAAGAAAAGAAAGTGACTGAATATACTAATCACAAAACATAGCTGCTGGCTAAGCCAAGACATATGTCAAGGTAAAGTGCTGCATAATTTTCACTCAGTCTGACCAATGCATTCCATTTCTGAATAGCAGTACCCCTGTTGTTCTGGTCCCTGCTATTTTCTGAATAGAAACAATCAATAATGGTGTCAGTGTGTTGCTTTCATATATACTTAAGTCTAACACAAATAGGAAAATTAGTGAATGGCTTGGTGCTGTAACTTTGAGCTGGGCATCCTGTCCTGAGTTGCAAATTCTATCAGCAACAGGGGGTCCATCAAACTCACTGCCTCCTGCTACATTGAAGCTTGTTGTTCTAGAAAAAAAAGCATTTAGAGCAGCACTTGGAATGTGATTTGCTTAAACATGATTCTGCGTTGAAGTACAGGAATCAATGCTGCTAGGTCATTAATGTGCTAATGGTTTTAAAACTGCAGCATTCAGGGTTAACTCCACGAGAAAGGCATTAGTTAGGTGATACTAATGCTGACAGTGCCATTCTGCTAAGCATTTATATAAAAGTCATGCAGCTACAGAGAAATTTCTTCTAGCAAAATATGTCAGATTGAGAAATTTTTGGCCAAAGATATCTAGAATATAGCAAGGCACTTTTTTCAGTGTTTGAACTTCTCAAAGTCTTCTGCTGAACTCTGTCAGTTCTATACTGTGTACAGTAATCACAAGTTTAACGGGTTAGAGGAAATTTTAGGCAATTTACCATGACAGGTCCTGTTCTGCTCGTTTTTCAGTGAATGTTGTAGTGTTTCAAAGAAAGTGGAGCAGCTGTAATAGGAGAAACTGTGAAAAAGCTTAGCCCAGCAGCACAGAATACACTTCAGCTTGAGTCTCAGGCTTCTAGGGTGTTAGAGTAGGTGAAGTGAATCTCTAGATGAAGTGCTGTGGATAAATGATCTTCCACAAACTACTCAGTCATGATGGCTACAAAAAAAAAAAAAAAAAAAAAAGAATTTAGTTAACCTTTTCTTATGAATTCATAATACATGAAGACTGTGCATGCTGCCAGCACCTGCAGTTCTGGTCATGAGTGGTAACTCATTAGCTTGAGTAGTTAGTTAGGTGGTTTTTATCACGCATGCCCTAAATGTCTTTCCTGACACCTTTGGAAATACTGGCCTTGCATCACAAATCTCCTAAAACCTGTTTTGAAACACTTACTGATATGAAAGCTCCCCATTGATTTTAATGGGATTTGGATCAGCCCCATGAATAATAGGGAAAAGCTGTTATTTCTTTCATATAGGTTGTCACTGGAAAGCAAATTCCCTTCATGCACAGTGTGCTTGTATTGCTTGGTCTTTAGCCCTCCTTTAGATGGAATTTTATTGTCTGGCATCAAAGCAGAGTTCAAAAGAAGAGAAACAAAACAAAATGGAAAAGCTCATAGGAAAACATTTATTGAAACACAAAATAATCTCAGATTCACTTTTATTTCATCACACAGACTTGCATGTGCAGGAATGTGTGCATTGGCAAAGTCCTGAGCTATCAAGTCTTTCTAAGTTTCACATAAAAGTCAGATACATCAAGAAGCATCAGACACCTTCACAGCTTTAGGTACAATTGAACAGCATTGTTTAAAAAGTGTAGGGCTCAGAACAGGCCATTGGTAGCTATCCCAAAAGGGAAAACAGTTTGTTTCTCAGAGGTCTGCACAAGAGTTTATTGAAGAGCTCTTCTTGCCTTCAGTGAGATCTGAGTTAAGGCTGTGTGAAACAGTTTATGCAATAACAGCTACAACAGATTCAGCACAAGTGCTTGAAACAGCCTTATGGATGTGCCCTGCTGTCACTCCTTAAGTACAGTTATAACACAACAGACATGGAAATTTCTCTTTAATACTAGATTGAAAATAGATAGAGATACCAAACCAGCTATAGTGATGTACTATTATAATTTCTGAGTCTGTCATTTGAAAGACATGAAAAATTATGTTAATTGGTAAGAAAAAGATGTTAAATGAATGCAAAGATACAGAAATTAATGGTATCCCAGGAGAAGGTCCAATAAAAGGAAGAGAAAAAAAACCATATTTCACTCAAATGCATGAGACAAGAATTCAGTCAGCACTTTATTTACAGTATTCTTTATTTATGTTTAAAAGCTTTTCTATTTAACGCAGATTTAAAACAGGCTTTCTGTACCATACTTCATAATACTGCAGCGTAATCAGCATCACAGAGTGCTATAATGCGTTTCTTATGTCAGTGGCTATTCCTGATTCCTACCTGGACATTTTCTGAAGAAAATTCCTATTTAAGCTTCTTTTATTTTACATCAAGACATTTCAGTAAGTAGTTTCTCTCCAGCTCTAAAAGCTATTTGTTTATAATGGAGCAAACATATGGTAGGGTGGAGAAGCTAAAGATCGTTGAGCTCTCCTGGTGGCAATGATGCTGGCTTCCCTCCTCCCCTCTCTCCCCACACAGGTGGCTCTCTAATTCCGGGCACTAACCTTGAAAGCCAAATTGTTCTGTGTAATGTGCCTACTGATACAGATTTAGGAGCTAGCAACTGCCTCACAAGCTGTTTGCCTGGGGGCAAACAGATTTGCCTTCAAAGATACCTGTGTGAGTATATATACAAAGCAATCCTGCAAACAGTAAGAAAAGGAAATTAAATCCTTCTGGAAATACTCACTTCTGTCTGTGGCCATACACCTGAGCTGTTCCCCTGTGCAGTGCGGTTGCCACATTGCTGGGGAATGGTAATGCTGTGCTCAGAGCTGGGGCCTGTTGACACTTGCACACACGTCAGCTTCCACTGACGTGAATTAACATCTGTCCCTAGAGGAACAGGCGGGAGAGCTCAGCACACATCAACAGATGATTCCCAGGATAAAACTAATGGTGGATGGTCCTGAGCCTGATGCCATTGCTGATGTATGGTCCTGAGCCTGATACCATTGCTGAGACCTGAGGAAGCTTAGGGCCTGTAGGAAGACAGACTTTCATGCACCGGGGGGGGCAACTTTGGTCTTCATTAACTCAGCACTTTTTTTTTTTTTTACACTTGCTTTATTAGCTTTAAAATGTACAGGTGTTTGATGATATGTTATTCATAAAGGATTAGTTAACTTCTCCATCTGGACCAAAGCATATAAAAGCATACCCAAAGCATACAAATCTGGGCTCAACAGAGCAGATGTAGGTGTTGGCTTTCTGAGGCAGAGTAAGCAGCAATCACATCTTTCTTTAGCCCCTCTGGGCCTTTCTAAGCATTCATTTCCCTCAGTAGAAATAAGGTTATCCATCTTTGAACCCTAGACCCTTGTAAACAGTGCTGAGCTGCCTAACTCAGAGAGAGCATGTGCTTTCTCACTGCTTTGACCTCATGAGTTTTTTGGGTTTTCACGTCATCTTTAACAAGGTCAGTAAAATGGTGCAGGTAAAAAGACATGTTGGATGTATGTAAACAGGACCAAGGCAAAAGCAAGTGACCTGGCCTGGGAAAATACAACTTTATAAATTGTTAGAAAGGTCCCAAGCACAGTCTTTGCCTCCATCCTACCTTCTCAAGCAATGTTTGGGTGTGATTTAGGGGAAAGTGTCAGACAGACACTCTTTCCAGCAGTCTCTCTTTTGAAGAGCAAGGTTATTCCTCTATGTCAGCTAGAGCCATGCCACATCCAATTAATGAATGTCTCACATTATTTACTGATGTAGCCACGTCTTTGTCAGCTTTCTCATGATTCCTAGTCAGCCTTCTTAATTGGTCAAATCTATGGTATATATGTCCAGGAAGTACGTTAAAAAGGTTAAACAAAACAAAAAAAAAAACCCACAAAAATAAAGATTAAAGGAAAAAAGAAGAAAAGGCTAAAAAAAAGGCTAAAAAGAAAAAAGTGCCAGGATCTAAGATCCAGAGAAGTGGAAAAGTCGATACACACTGCAAAACCCAGTCCCTAGCAGCTCAGTTGGAGCCTTGGGTGAAGTTTCACACAGAAAAATGTAAAAGATAACTGTTGCCTATAAAAATATAATTGACCACATATAATCCCAAAGTTTTTATTAAAGTTATTATTAAAATTATATTTATTCATCTTTGTACTAAACACCTCTATCCTAACAGTTACCTACACTTGAAGGTAACTATGTCAGGGTCCAACACTGTGTAATCAATGGCAAGAGACAAACACCTCTAGGGGTTGATCAGCAGAACTTGAACTAGCAGCCTAATAATTACCAAGGTGAAATGCAACAATTACCTTGTACAGGGCCTTGCAAAATCCTCTGTAAAGTAGGAATTCTTCCCCACTTTTTCTCCCCATGAAGGGCTTTCTTTTTTTTTTTTCCAAAGTCATTTCTGATTTGTATATCTTAAGTTAAATATACCTGATAAATCAGGTTTCACCTTCTGCTCCTGATCCGTCTCTCCTTTTGGTTATACAGAGAATGGGGTGTAAGAAGTGAAACTTTTGTGTAGTATTTATGGAATTAGCTCTATACAAATCAAGGCAGTACAGTTTCAGGTGAGGAAAGGAACCTGGAAAAAAGAGATCATTAATAATATTTATTGAAACATTAGTTCACAGCAAACATTCATTTGCAGTGAAATGTTCAGGAATAATTATTGATAAAGAAAGAAAAAGAATCCTTCTCAAAATCTCTGATTGTAGTATCAAGGTCTTATAATCTACCCTGTATGTTCCTAAATGACAAAGATATCTTTGTGTGGTTAAAGGCTAAAAGCTGGTAGGTGAAAAAATTCATGGCTGGACTACACACAGTGTAATTTTTTTGTATGTGAGTTTTCTCATGAATGTGCTGGAATGTCTTATGCAATGGATAAGTGAAATTAACAGAGAATTTATATTCAAATACTATTATTAAATTTCACATTTCTCCCCCTCCCCCTTTTTTTTTTTTTTTGGAGTGGGATATTTTATTTCTTGTAATATGTTCAAATACAGATAAAATATCTGACTTTCTTTTTGGCCAGGATACGGACATATGAGTCATGGAAAGCAAAATTTATTGGTCTACCAGAAACTTTCAGTTTAAATTTTCTCCTGTCAAATTCTTTCAAAGAAACTGAATCTGCATGTAATTGCACATAACCATGAAAAGTGCAGCTCACTCTTTGACTAATTCAATTTGATGCCTTTTTGCTGAGGTTCTGCCCTGTGGCTTTGCTCTAATAGACACAAATCTTGTGTTGACTTAGATAAGTCTCCTGTTTGATTTACTACTTTATCAGAGATAAACAGCTATAATATACTTCTTGCAGGGCTTCAATATATATTCCAATTATTGTCATGTTGCTTAGAAGTGTGAGTCAACACGTAGCCTCTTCTAAAAACTGTGCATTGAACCAGACATTTGAACAAGATGTGTTTGAGAACCACATGAAAATAAGAGTTAAATAATGAAATGGGTGGCTGATCTGTGAAATTGGCATTTGGTTCAGTGGAACTTGAAGGGACAATAAGACCAGTGTCACAGAGCAGCAAGAGAAACTCCTAAGACCTGGTTTCTTGCCAAGGGGATAACCCCATTACCATCTACAAATGGAGCTTTGAAAGCTCTGACATCAAGAGGTCAGCCAGGAGTGTCTTGCTTTTAATAGGGGAACTCATCTGCAGGGTCCTCCCCCCATCTAGAGTGAGGCTTACCCTGTTCCAAGCTAAAATCCTGAAAACTCTAGTGAAGTCTGGAACTACAGATCTCATAATACCTGATTCCTGGCTGAAGGGCAGACAAATTGACTATTTTGGCTGGGAACTGTCCCCGTTTTCCAGGTAGATCTGCCAAACAGACTAGGTATTTCAGTGTTATGGCTCTGTGGAAGATTTGTTTGATGAAAGAGGCTTTGACTACATTTAAAAGGACCTAGTAATATGATGCCTTCTATGGAGCTATTCAGCCTTCCAGCAAAATATTAATTTAGACACAAACACTGGTGAATTTAGACACCTCCTCAGTAGTATAAATCTGTGTTAGTGCATGTCTTCAACAGTATCTTCAATGAGCTAAGTACATACAGGTCTTTCTTCAGCCACATCCCTAACAGAATCCTTGATGGTAACACAATATTGCAAGATATACTAGAAGCATAACTCTTTGGATCTGCTGCATGTTTGCAGTGTTGGCATTTATGTGGTCAAAGTACTTCCATGGAAGTAAAAGACCTGAATTCAAAACTTTCATAAACCCATGGAGGTTTCAATCCTATTTGTTGACATAGAAAAATAACCACCAGACTAAAAAGTATAAGCATTTAAGAGGTTTCCAGATCCTTACACCAACAACAAGTCATAAACTCAAAAGGAAAAAATTGTTAAAAGGTGCCTGGATCTACTACAGAACTTAGAGCATTAGCTTAGATTGAAGCAGCAGAGGGTTCTGCTGTGTATTGAGCATCCCATACTATAAAAGGCCTTTTTTGTTAGCATAATAATGATTTCACTTAGCCTTTAGTTGAAGGAATTTGAATTAAAAAGAGATTAGAGTTCTGCCTAGTATAGCAAAGTTGTAAGAAACCACTCTGATTTGGGGAATCTCCAAATTTTGCTTGGTTTTGGAATTCTTTGGGGTTTTTGGAGGGGAGGGGTTATTTTTGCCTTTTTTATTGAAGGTACTGTGCTCTCTCATTTGGATCCTTAACATCAGGAGGACTTTAAAGCAAACCTGCTGTTCAAATATTCACACACATACCTGTTTGCATGATTGTTCGCCACATTTTCACATTCTGGAAATAGTCTTGTGAACAAATATTTGCTTCTACAACAGTTCTCAAAGGGTGAATAAAAGAACTTATGAACATTATCAAAGCAAATACATGTGGCGCCTGGTACATGAACATTTATGATCACATTTTTGCAGGACAGAGCCAATGCTAATATGGTTTCAGTCTGAGATACAAAAGTGAACTTCTGGAGAATCAAAGATATGCATTTATCAGCATCATTGTTCTTGCAGGGTTCCCTGGATGATCTCCTAGCCCTGCGAAACTCTCCTACTTTCTGCCATCAAAAGTAATTTCATATGTGCGGGTATTGCTCCATTCTTTACTTTCATCTTATTTTCAGGACATAAATTTTCTTTTTTGCTTGGAGTGTTTGTTGAAAGCAAACAGGAATAAAAACTGACATAAACTTTACCCAACAACATTCCAGTGCAAAGTCACCAAATTCAAGAGAACAACTTGTCCTGATTTAGAGGGCTTCCAGCCAGCTGCTGATGGCCTATATTGTATCTGAAACAGATTAGCAGTACAATTTACAGTGTAAGAACTAAGCCAGTTTTATTTTATCTCTTTTAATAAAGTTGAATGCTCCAGAGGAAATGTTCAAATTCAGATATTAAGTTTCATCCAGACTAAAGGTAAGATTTGAGATCTTGCCCTTGGAGACCGTATACCTAGCCAATAAAGTTAGAAACACACTTAATGGATTGTGATATTGCCTAGTCCTGGTAATGTTTGAAGAATTAAGAAGCCTACCAGTACTGATACTCTCCTTTGACAGCAGAGGGAGCATTTCATCCAGTAACTCGTTTGTTCTCATATGTTCGCATGAAGATTCTAGCAATATTTAATAAATAAATACATTACTGTCGTGGTTTAACCCCAGCCATACAGCTTTCACTCACTCCCCCCCCTCCCCCCCCTTCCTGCCCCCCCCCCCCACTCCTGGAGGGACGGAGAGGAGAATCAGAAGGAATGCGACTCCCACGGGTTGAGATAAGAACAGTTTAGTAACTAAGGTACAACACAAATCACCACTGCTACCACCAATAATAGTAATGATAAAGGAAACAACAAGGGAAGAGAACACAACACCCCACCACCAGGCGACCGACAACTCCCCAGCCCGATCAAGCACCAACCGATACCCCCCCAACCCTGCAGTCCCAGCCCTTCCGGGTCACTCCCAGTTCACATCCTGGGCATGACGTGCTGTGGTATGGAATACCTCTTCGGTCAGTTTGGGTCAGGTGTCCTGTCTCTGCTTCCTCCTGGCTTCCCTTCCTCCCTGGCAGAGCATGAGGCTCACCAAGTCCTTGGCCAAACCAAAACATCATTCTTATCAGCTTTGCTCCCGGCCTGAAAGTCAAAACACAGCACTGCACCAGCTACCAAGAAAGAGAAAAATGACTGCTACTGCTGAACCCAGGACAATTACCAAACCCAAATATCTCTAATCAGGCAGGTAGCCTGTGGTTGGATAACTGCAAAACAAAGTACAGTAGCTGGAAAAAACACACAATGTAAGAAACCCAAAAGGCGTCTGTGGAGATCAGAAACTATTCTTCTTTCTTGAGAGATAATTTCCAGAAGAATCCAAATTACTGAAAGAAAAATATTTTTTTCCCTACTGGAAAAAAGAGCATGTGAAAAAAAGTGAGTAAGGAAATCTCCAAAGCTCAAATTTATTCCCTAAATTTTATTAAAGCCTGGATTCTCAGAGCTGCAGTGAGTCTTTTCAGACTTGTTTCTGCTGAAAACCCAAGCTATTTTGTTACTACTGAATCTGAGCCTTGAGCTGGTGGGGGCATACGGGAGTCTGGCAGTAATGCCGAATTTAAAGTACATGGAATTGGTTTGGAACAAGGCGATTTTAAGGCCTCTTCCAACCCAAACTATTCTATGATTCTATGAATTGGGAGTGACTCACTGATTTAGTTTCAACCTGCATTAGGGTAACAAGTAAAAAGGGCATTGACAGAACCTATATTTAATAGCTCTGATCAGATGATCATGTGAAGTAGCAATTCTTAATTGTAGTTGTTACCTGTTTCTCAGTTTTTCAGCAGTATTATATCCCTGTCTCCAGCCATATCTGTTTAGAAAAATAATTGATGAATACATTAGCAAATCCACCCTGTATACTGCAGCTACAGCACTGGCAGTAGTAGATATTCCATAACCTTTCCTGACTGGAAAGTTTATTGATCATCTGAGTGATGTTTGTTTCTTTGAATACTCTCTTAATTTTTCCCTTAAGCTTTGCTCAGGCAGGCTCTAATACTTCAAAAGAAATTTTAATGAATGAAGAACATTTGTCTCAAGGTGAAACTAGTAACTTTGATTCAAGTACCCTATGACCTGATTAAAACCAGGCTGCATTCATATGTCAAACTATGAGATTTAAAAATGAACAACTCTCCCTGTAAAATCATTGGGAATTTTGCCTGTTCAAAGAGGTGTTCATAAACATGAAAACAGTTTTAACTGTTCATTAGCTTAGGCTTCAGGCCTGAGTCTAAATCAGGCAACATTTTGAGCAAAACTTGCAGTACGGCCTGTCTTCAAGGGATACATGTTTCAGACACCATGGAGAGCTATGTAAGTATACAGTATGATAGGTGATAAAATGCATTTTTTGGGTTTTAAAGACTCCACATTTGATCAGAAATAAGCTGAAAGCAATGCCTAAGATGAACCTTGCTCTCTAAAAATAGATTGTTACTGTTTGGTTAGAAATTTCATTTAGGGTTCAGGGACTCTTACCCAGTACTTTTTATAATCAGGCTGCTTGATCAGCACAGCTATGGATAAAGTTTTAGGTGGGTCTGATACCTCACCGATACCTCAAATCTCTCAGTTTTAAAATTCTCTCTTCTCTTTACTATATCAGATTTCTTTTTCTTCTTTCATGCTACCCTGGTTTTAATTGAATGTGTTCTCTTGATTCTTATTTCTATTTGAATCCACATTTCCTAAGCATTGAGATGCTTGGCTAGGAACACATTTGAAATGAGGTGAACTTAAACCTGTAAGTACTGTAAATAGACACAGAAGGTCTCACAAGTATGTTTCAGTGCTGAAAGAACTGTGTGATTTTTGAAATTATGCCTTTTTACAGCAGTTTTATAGGTTGACTAGCCTAACTACTACCATTTTTCATGAAACCAATTTTCTAAGTAGAAATAACTGTGTTCCTTGCAACCACTTGAACTACCAGAATAAGATAAATATTAAAGACTCCCTTAAAAAATAAAAAATCTTATATATTTGTTATTTGAATTTTGCAGGCACTTGTAGGACCCCTGTGGCTAACCTTTAATTCCATATTTGTCCATACCTACTCAAAATAAAGTGTGGAGAGAAGTTGTTTTATTTTGAGCAGGCAATATGCAGACCCTGAAATTTGTGGCAGGCACATGCTGGGTTATTTTTATTAAAGAAACTCCAGAATCCATGGCATTTTATCAAAAATGCTTATCCTTGCACATTCTTAGAGATAAAATTAAAGAAACAGGACAATGAAGCCAGCAGCTAAGATACCTGTCTAGAAAGGAGGCTACAACATCCAGCAAGTGGTAGGAACAGGTCCAAGTCCTGTCCTACTTACACCTATTTGATTTAATGGGATTGCACTTGTATAAGAGAAGAGCTTGGTTTGTAAACTTCAAAAGGCTCACAATAGCAAACAGGGGGGGAAAAAAGAAATGCAAAAGCAAACAACACCATGTGGAATGAATCTGAGACATCCCATCCCAGTAAGAACACTCAGCAGTCCATTTTATTTATTCAGATCAAATGCAGACTGTGAGATATATAGACTATGTGAGGATATGGTGTGAAAGTAAAAATGTTCAAATAAAAGCATTACTTTGGCACTACTGCTGAGATTAATGTGGGTTATGAAGAGTACATCTGAGACTGGCACTGAAACTCTTGATAATTAAGCAGGTTCACAGGGATGAACTTATTATGACAACCCTCATATTGAGGGTTAAGAAAATACAAAATCAGGTCTTATATTTTCATATGAAGTAATCATGTTTTACTGGAAGGGTTTAATTTAGAGAGAACAATGAGTTTTGAAAGTGAACAGAAATCTGGTTTCTGTTGTTTAGTTTTTTTTTTTTAACAACAATGATAACAGCAATAGAAAAAGCAAACCAAAAATAATAGCAAAGGGAAAAACTTGGCTTTTTCAGTTCAATTTAAAAAAGTACTTCATGGATACTAAGCCTTTATGACCTATATCACCTATGCAGGACATGAAAGTATAAATGGTCCACACTCCTATTACCTTTTAAGTATGAAAACTGACTCTCTAAGGCTTCTCAAAGCTGAAATGAATTTTTAGGTCAAAGCTGCAGAAAATCTACTTGCTCAGGACAGTGCAGCTCTGTAATCACAGGATCAGTCCCTCCTTTTCTGGTTGTTGAAGAGCTTCTGAAAACCTCCCTAGAGGCTCAGTTACTGGTATGAAGAGTTCAGTGGGGAAGAAATGTGTCCAATGCAGAATTGTACTCAAGGAATGGTCAGTTCCACTTCCGGATTCAGCAATCCTAAAGCCATCAGCAGTATACTCCAGACGATATCTTTCAATGTTCAACTTCTGTTTTTCAGTTGGTTCTTGATGTTTTTTGAGTTAATGGAGAAAATTATTCCCTTCCAGAGAGCTACTCATTGCATCTGTCACAGTGTTTTTACAGGTCAGATGATTCACCTTTTGAGGTTCATATTTCCTGTGTGTTAATTACAGAGGCAGTCTAGGGTGACTAGCTCAGACACAGTTACTTTAGACATTTTAAGTGGGAGGAATGCCCAGTTTCGACCCCAGGTACCGAAAACTACCTTGTTGAAACATATTTAAAACTTGCTAATTTCCTCTTCTTTTTCAAGAAAAGTACACAGAAGAATAGCTGACCTATTTACTAGTATATGCACAGGTTTTGCTGTATTTATCCCTTTCTCATTCATTTCTCTCCATGAAACTAATCTAGATGAAGTGGATAATAACCACAGACCAAAAGGGAGGCACAATTATGTCATGAAGTCTATAGCAATTCGTGAAGAGACAAAAGCCTCCAAAGAGACTATATAGATAATCCTCCTTATGACTCATAAGCAAGTTGCTTAATCTGAGGAAATGCATAGCATATGTAGAACCTCTTTATAATAGGATCATCCTGTAAATATTTTTAAAGTTGTTTCAGCTAACTGAACTTTAAAGCCATTTAGAGCCTCTCTGCCAACTGGAAGTTGAGTAAAGTTCTGTTTATAAGATGGACACTTGTTTTGGCATACGATGTTTGTGTTTCTGGAAGAATCTCATAATGTTGAATTTTTTTACATTTCTCATACTATCAGAACATTAATTTCATTGGAATAGGTCCCACCCCTTCTTTCTGGAGAGGCAATATCTCCAAAACATGTATTACTGGGAGTATCTGATTTATCTTCAGGTACTACAGAAGCTGTTTTTTAAATATTTTGATCTGGAAAAACTTTATTCT